CATTCCTGTTGAGACAAAAAGACAAATAATTAATACATCATATACTGAGAATACTTTATAAGGTAATTTTCATTTCTCTTAAGATTTGTGTTGACCGTTCACTCCGAATACTTCTCAAAACCTCAGACAAAGATAACCTGTGCCCATTCACAAGCTCCACTGAGTGGGAAAGACTGCTATAAAATAGATGACCACAGATTGCTGATGCTCCTATAATGGCAGACGACAGCCTAACCTCCCACTCAAAAATCTAACAAAATCTCTAAACCAACATAAACGTTGTGTCCTGCCACCTTTCATGGATACGTCACTGTGTGCTTCAAAATCAACCCATCCTACTGCAGACTCTTGGTTCTTTAACAATGAAACTTCAAAAAGTGACAATCACCACCACATTCTTCCTCACACAAACCATAAGGAAAACATTTGCCAATAACCTTGACTATGTATCAGCTCCAGGTTTACTGCAATTCTCAACTTTTCACACAATTCAGCATCCAAGAAAAGAATTAAAGGTTCAGAAAGATCCTCAATTCTTTAAGTCCACAAAATGACAGCTTTTTATCCAACCCTCACTCTACTCCTTTCAATGTGAAAATACTATACCTGACCTAGACATGTCAGCCAGGTGGTTAACACTGAAATTCAGCTCTGTTTCTCTCACTCTCACACCATTCCTGATCACTTTACAATAGATATTTTTAAATTCCTTATCTCTTTTCACCATACCCAATCAGGGACTATGAGGGAGAAGCAGCAAAAATTTCTCTCCATGGAGAAATTCCTGGCTCCATAATAAAGCCCTCTGCCATAACCCTCCCTCTACCATGACCTAGCTCTCCTCTGTCCCAGGTGAAATGCATCTGGGGTTTAGTCAGTTTAAGAGGAAAACAAGTTTACATAAACTTTACATAAGCAAACACTCTATTAATTTACAAATTAGCTGCATGTTTTCAAGTTCCATACAACTTCCAACTTAAATCACATTTATCACAAATAAGAGTAACGCTTTTGCATTGTCCTACATATATCTATGAGCTTTTATGGCAAAGATTTCACCATCTTAAGCAGCCACATCCATATACATACAGAAAGGCACATGTAACAAGCTATAAAATTATTTATATGAAAGAGAGAAATCAAACAATGCTGGCCCAAATCACATTTACAAACACATTATAAGCAATAGAATGCAATTATTCAGCAAAGTGCATTGCAGCATTATACTACTACCCAAAAAACACTCAATAAAGAAGCAGCTGTATTGGTCAAGTGAGCACACCTACCCCCCAGGTCTTCTAAGGCTTTCTATTTTTGTCACATCCCTGGACAAAGTGAATACATCAGAAAAGTGCTGTAATTATACAGAGAATAAACAATGAATAACTTAATAAATTAAACTCATCTGTTTATTGAATTTATTGGAAAATGTGGGGTTAAAAAAAAAAGAGAGGAAAAAAAAAATCAATAGATCCCCCCCCAAAACTTTCAACTCATCCTGCATCTTTATTAAAATAAAGCTTTCAATACCACACAATTCCTTTAATACAACAGCTTTTACTAACTCGTACCCCTCCTTTCCCTTCCCACTCCCACTCCTGGTGAAAACCAACTTCTGCAGTGAAAAGAAATTCCCCTTTAAAAAGTGAATTGTGGGTAAAAGGATGAGACTATAAATAGAGCTGGGTGAAGCTCCTTAAAGAATGAAGACTTGAGTACCCAGGGTACTGGAATCACTAAGTGTAACACTTTCTTCTTCAAACCAAGCTAATTAAAGGAGGTAAGACTGTGTTATAACCACCGGAAAAGTAAAAGAGCAACTTCTCTCTGCAATAACTACGCAACTAATGCAATAATTTATAGCAAAGTATTGCATAGAGCATCTCTTCTGAAATTGCTATATACAATTACGTATAACTCACACAGACCAATGCCACATAGGAACGCACCAGTTTGTCAGGAGACATTTATCTTCCTCAGGCATTTGATGCTTTCTCTTCTTGCATCTCCCTGAATTAATACGTTCCAATTTTTCAGGAAATGAAGCAGGTATAGTAGAGACAGAAATCTCATTCAGTACAGAAACACGAGCATTCCCCAGAGCACACTCAATCACATGCACTAATTAACAGCCTTGCTGTTACCAGCAGCATGTCACTCCTCACTATCAGAAGAGGATGACACACTTTTCTAGTGGGTTTTGTCAGCGTGTGCTAAAACAATTAGAGATTTAAGAATTTGAGGTTTCAGTGCTGGATCCTGGTGACCCCCCACTCCTGGTCTATCCATGGCACTGCCCTCCCTCTCATTAAAGTTCCTGCTCTTGATGGTTTCCCCTTCTCACTGCTGCATTTCACAGTGGACAAATGCTTGAGAGCCTCCTGGGTGAAGGAGGAGCTGATGACCAAGAGCATCACTGACATCAGCCACACCAGAACACCAAGGATACCATCACATCAGGAGCTCAACGTTTCTCAGGATCTGACAGCAAGGCTGATTTTGAGTTGTATTTCACAGGACATCATTAAACACAAGCACAATACCTTGAATTGCATTTTAAAACTTCACAGCATGGAATAGTTCAAGAAAATCAATCTCTTCTACAAATCACCATCTCTCCTCCTTTCTCCATCTCCCCACTGAGAGGCTACAGTTCAATGTAAAAGCTGAGGTAAACATGAGATAAAGTGGTACCTTTGTAAGACTAAAGCAATTTTTAGCAAGACCCATAAAATGGTGTTGAACAACCTTGAAGCCATTGATAACTGCAGCTTTAAATTATCATGATGATCGTTTTAAAAAGAGTTTACAACACCTGTAATTTTCAGTTGCAGCAATGCAGATGGTGGAAAGCACCACTGAGCATCAGGCTGTTATCACATACAGCAAGTTAGCTCATAAAGGAGAAAAACTTTATAAACAAAGATGTGACGTGGATGTCCAGAGCACACCCAAGACTATGCAACTCTAATGAAGAGGCTATTTAAATATGTCTGAATGAAAATGAAATTGTTGACTATCTTGTACCAGGTTATTAAAGTTGTTATTTAAATAGTTGTAAAAGCAGAAGAGCTTGAGAGTTCAAGTGTGGTTGCCCATTCCCACCAGGCTCACTCAGCCCCAACACTGAATTAACACCCCTTACCCCAAAGAAACTGAGCTAAATGAGGCCACTGAGGTCAACAGGGCAACAGGTCTGACATAGAGAACTAGACCTCTAGTCTTCAATGCAGACACAGTTTTAAGCCCTTGTTTGTGCAGAGGGTACCAAGAGAAAGTCAGTAGGTCAGAGCAAAGGAGAGCAGGGGCAGAAAAGACTCTCTGGGGAAAGGTGCAGGGCAACAATGACAAGGAGGATGAGGAGGAGAAGACTGCTGCTCCACTCTGAAGGAGTGCCAATAGCACCAGTGCCATTAGGGATATGGCGTCAGGAAGAGCTGGTGGCCTAGAGAAGTTGCCTGAAGGCCAAGCTGTTGAAATGCACTGCTAGCTACAGAAGAACAAAAAGATTTCAGACCACTGCCTGACAAGACTTTTGAAATCGTAGGTCTCCAAGGCTATGGGCCTGTGTGAAGTGGAAGCTGGACTATGAGGTAGTTAATGCTCCAGATGACTAAGTAAACCACCAATAAATAATACCTCCAAAGTGGAGAGATTATAGTTTGCTTTGAGTAACAGAGCAGGAAAGATGGTGACTTTTTTCCTGTCCTTCCTTCTCCTGTTTTTATGAGATTTAGAAGATGATGGTGAGAAGGAATTAACCAAAATAGGCAGGTGAATAGGGGGTTTTTGAGTAAGCAGTAAGGTGATTGTTTTTAAAAAAACCCACACCAACAGAAAATACTACAGAAGTTCTTCATTTCCTGAATTGCTTTCTATAATACCATGAGTAACTAACTCTGTTTTAAAACATTCAGTTAGACAACTCCTGTAGGCCAAGTACCATTGACCCTTTATAATATTAGCTTTGCTATATATGTAGATATCAAGTTTGTCCCCCTAAAAGCTCTCCTAGAAATATCAGCTTCCTCCACAGCAAAGTTTAAATGAGGCAAAGAAAATGTGAATTCTAAAACTTTGTAGGCTACAATGAACAAGTGAGAGCAGCAAGGGTTAATGTTCAGACACAACTTTATCCAATCTAATCAACTATTCTGAAATAACTATTTCAATACTTACTAAGCAGCATCTACAAATCCCATTTACAAATATGCAAAGAACCTTCAGAAATATTTTTCAAGATCACTACGCTGAAGCATTACAACTCTGCTGATGAAACTTCTTCACATATGCTGATGACTTCTTTTGACTTCCCCTCCCTCCTTACTCGATATTACTTATCACTATAAACTGCTGTAGATCAGGAGATAGCCAGGATGGGGAAGTAAACAAAGGAGCACTACACCTAATCAAATGCAGAATTACTCCAACTTCTTGCTACTTTAATCTAAAACAGTGAATAAACTATGCAAATCTAGATCTAATAAAGTTAGAAGTAACAAGATAATTGACGTATGTTTTCCACTTACTGATGCAGCACAGTATAACTTGCCAAATAAATGACTTTTGCACTACTGAAAGGAGGACAGGAAGCAATCTACAGTACTTCCTATTCATTACAAACCATTAAGTTACTCAAAGATTTTGTAAGAAAATGATAGCAAATACGAGTTTTCTCTTTCTTTCTTTCTCCAAACCCAAATACTGGAAGCTCATCGCAGACCATTCATTTGTAATCTTGTGCCTTTAACTTTTCCCATGCAACCCAAAGTTTCATTTGAAAATGGGTTCTGATGAGTTCCCCCACAAATGTGTTTTGTTTCTTAGATTGACCAATACATCCTGAATTCCAAGTTAATTTAGAATACTCATCACATACCTACCCCCCTAACACCAGCCACATGCTCTGTGGTTTTACAATGTACGAAGCAGAACTAAGCAGGTCCTGCTGCAGTTCCTCCCT